TTTTTTTTTAAAACTTACTTGAGTCATTTGTGTTGTTTTACCTGATCCAGTTTCTCCAACACATATAATAATATTATTTTCTCTAATAATTTTTAATAGATCATCTCGAATAGCATAAATTGATAAAAATTTTCTTTGTTCATCAATAGTTCTTTTCCTAGCAAAGTCTGAAATAGCATCTGTTTTTTCTTGCATATGTTCAGCAAATTTTTGTGATTTTTTATAATCAATATCTTCTGATTGGTCATTTTTTTGATCATGACATTTTATACCTAATATATTTCCTAATTTAATTCCACCTAATTCAAATTTTTCTTGTGCTAAACGTTGTTCTTTTTGTTCACGATATTTTTGTACTGATTGACAACATTTACGATCAATAACTGCCATATATGATGCTGAATCTTTAACAGGAATAACTGGTTTAACTAGAAAAAAACAAAAAACAAAATGACATTTTATAAATTGGAGAAAATAACAACTACATACATTGTTGAATAAATCCTAATTGATCATCAAGAAATGGTGGAACAATATTTGTAAGAAGTAAATGTACACGACTGTTACTATCATCATCAAAATCTTGTCCATAATTTAATTTTGATACAACATCACTTTGAATCATTTGATTTTTTTTCCATTTTTTGATATCCTAAAAATAAATAATCAATAGGATCTTCAATAGATAAAAAAACTCAATTTACTTGATTTATTGGTCGTTCTTGTGCAGATATACATTTCTTCTTTCGTTCTTCACCAATATTTATCAATGGATTCAATTTATCATCGAATACATCTTCATTATTGTACCATTCACCATCGATATGCTTAAAAGAAAAAGAAATCATATTATTTGAATTTTTTCGTTATGAGAAATTTTAAGTAGATAATTACTTTTTGTTCTTCTTTCCAATTACGTCGATAATGTTGATCAAAATCTTCATATTTACTTTTACGAAAACTTGGTTTAGGCAATCGATTATCAATATATTTTCTAAATTAATAAAAAAAAAAAAAACTTTTTTTTTTAATTCCATAATTGAAGAATTTTATATTTTATTGCAAATTGTCATTAATCTCTCATGTTAGCACAATACTATGTATTGGATTTCATTCTGTTGTTTTCTAGTAAACAAAATCTTTATGAATATTCGTTTTAGATAGTTAGACAAAGTTCTAAAGTGTTTTCGTACAATCTATAATTATAGTTCTATGAATTTTCGCCATTTGAATTTGAACAATGCCGAAAGTTCCGGTAGAGTTGCGAAAGATCCTTGAAATTTTGTCGAAATTGTGGTGAAATGGAAGCTTCCGCAGTTATGTGTTGACTTGAACGTGGTTGAATAGAAAATCAATATTTCATAGCTATATTAATCTTTAAAAATTCCTAAATAATGCAGCTCAATGAAATATTTTACTTTTGAGAGTAAGATTATCTCAAATGAAATTATGCATTTGGTAGTTTAGCTGCAAAGTTGAATATCTTTCAAAATAAAGTTTATATACAAACAATTTAGTAACGTTCGTTTTTCGTATCACTGTATTAGATGATGAATCTTTTTTAGTCTGTTTTTAAGCTTCATCAATAATGATATATATTTCGCTAGAAAATGATGCATTACATTCGATAATCTCTGCAAGTTTTATTTTTTGGTAAATAATCTCTGACTACGATCCAATAGA